TCAGTTTGGAGAATTTGTATGTGGATATTGGGGCTTAAAGGGTTAATGATGAAGTCTTGAAAAGATGGGTCTGACTTTTGAGTATAAGGATGAAATATTCAAATGAAACCTACTCAGCAATACAAATCTAACTTCACAAGGAAATTTTGTTGAATTTTGTCTTTGGTCACAATCAGGAGTGACAGGGCTTATGTTCAACAGGTATTCAAAGGTAACAGCAGGGCTTTCAACAAAATTTTAAGTTTGCAACAGTATCAAATAGATCTGAGAAAATCTATCTATTATTACTTCGGTCAAGAAAAAAAGCAGCCAACCTCGCTGAGTAAAGAATCCAATGTTTTTAGTTGGCTGCCTGTGCTAATTGAAAGCACTGTAGATAACTAGGAAGGGTGAATAAGGCAAAAACATTCCAATGGACAAAATCTAAACAGCCCCTTCCTTTCTCTTTATGCATCAAAATCAAAGAGACCTAGGGCGTATTCCTTTGGAATGATCTGGATCTGGACTTACATGATCCTAGCCTGCACGCAAGCTCTCTATTTAGGGAAGTTGCGAGTGCAAGGGGCAGGGTTGAGATCCAAACTGAACAGTCTCTCGCAACTCGCTTCACTCACCATAAATTTAGACTAGCAGGCCAGTATGTTCTAAGATCATGGGACGTCAAAGATACCCATCAATCTTTCTCCAAATGGGATTTAGAGCTGTTCCTTTGATGCAGCATGATCAGTGTGATGTTGGTTCGTAATCCCTGATACAGATCATCCCAAGGGAAGGAAAATTGCCATTAAAGAAACATCATCAAATCTTTTATTTGTTCAGGACTTTAAACTGAAGAATGTATGATGTGGTATGGGCATTATCAAGTGTGTATTCAATCTGCAACACCAAGATTTGGCATATTTTGGGCTCTACAAAATAATTTAGCCTAATCACGGCTACACATTAGTTTCTTCATTCCTGAAATCTCACCTCTTTTGACAACTGCACTGAATCCTGTGTCTCAACTTGTTGGCGACCTTCTTCCAGCTTGTCATGAGCCTTATCAAGAAAATACAATCATAAATCTTAAATAAGCAAATCCACCTAAACAAGATCCTACCTCAAAGATGTGCCTCACCTCTCCCCTACCTTGTTCACCCACCATTTCCAGGGCTTAAAAAAACCTTAAATACCAGCTTGTCCTCTACAAGTTAACAAACAGCTTTTCATATTAATGAATTCTCCATTCCCATTGACTAATAGCAGCCCTGGCTTTCAGCATTAATTGGACAGAGTTTATTGGATAGTGCCTGTTATACCTACAAAACTGAACACTATATACATGTATACAGCTATTTTGAGAAAGGTTGTCAGAAAAAAATGTGCATGCGACAATCCCGAAAGGTTATATAGGATATGATCATCACACTGTTCCCGACACTGTAGCTGTCGAAACTACTTTTGTTACTTTCTTCTAGCCATTCTTTCAAATTTCTTTGAAAATCAGTGAACTCAAAACCACCCACAATTCCTTTTGGTATTGTTGCGTGCACTTTTCCCTAAAACCATTCTCGAAATAGCTGTATATGCATCATCATGTGCAGGGCTTGGAAAAGGTACTGTCAGTCATACAGGACAAGTAGGTTCTCCTTTTCGGGCAAGTAGCCTTTTTACCTGGCTTGCCCAATGGGCAAGGATCCATGGTAAATAAATCAGATAAATTTACGGTTCGGGGAAACTGCCCACCTACCCCTCCCCTAAGCCAACGTTATCACTTACTTCTCACTTAGGGCAAAATGTTGGCTTAGGGGAGGGGTAGGTGGGCAGTTTTCCAGAAACCTAAATTCATCCAATTAATCATTAGCTAAGGTAAACAAGCAATGGCCCTGGGCAAGGAAAATGTGAGAGCTGTTGGAATTCAACAACAACAACAACAACAACAACAATTTATTGCACCCAAAGCAGAATATTATAGTTATTTACAAGTTGTTAAATTGTTAAGCCCTGATGTGTACTGCAGTAACAGAATAGCTGTAGTTTTTAATGCAGGGCTGTCAAAAAGTTTTCAAGTAGGAGGCTGATAATGAATAGTAGGCGGCTTTGGAACTAACACAAAAGGCAAAAGTTTCAAGGGTCGAGGCGTCTAGGGACATTTTGAAATTTAGAGTCTCGGAAGTGCCATTTCCAGGGCTTTTCAACAGGTATTTCCACTGCGGACACCATGTTGTTTCGTCAGAATACATGCAAGATTGGGAATAATGTCGTCGAAATGCCCCAAGCGTTCCACGACATCGCACGGTTTGAACGTTTCACAGATCAAAATCTGTTTAAATATGCATTCAATGTCATTCAAAACTGGCAAACGGATGCTCTATAATTTTATTCGATGGTGCTTATTTTTTGTTAGCAGTTATGGTAGGAGATGAAAGTAGCCGGCTAAGTGTAGCTAACTAGCTGGCGGTTTTGGCCGGCTACCGGCCCTTATTGACAGCCCTGTAATGCCTGACAACAATAAATAAATAAAATAATAAACTAGTAATAACCAAAGGTTTATAAAGAGTGTTGGCGACAATGATTGAAGGTCAAATACAACGATGGGAAAGCGCGCGGAAAGGACTGAACACGACTTCCCGTGCCCAATTTGCCACTCTGCCATTGGTCAAGCCAGTTGTTTAATTTGCACGCACTGTCATCAACTGACATTCAAGTTCTGTTGCTAAATCAGCCTAATAAATAAATAAATAAATAGAGGTCTTACCCTGACAAGTTTCAGAACGGAAGCATCACCTAGGATACTCTTTAAAGCATTTGCTTGTTCTTCAAGAATCAACCCAGCAGTCCGTGGATCATCCAAAGACTTCAACACCGTTTCAACTGCTGTAGAACAATAACATACAATTTTCTGTAACAAAATTTCGTTGCAGTATCAGGCGAGTAGGAACGAATTTGAAAGTGAGAGGGCACGAAAAAAAATTAGCCCAAACAACATATTTTTTAAATCGAAAGGGGAATTGCCTTGTAACGGTAAAGTGGTAGTCTTCTTTTTTTAAAATTTTTGCCCAAAAAGTGGGGGGGGGCACTGGCCTAATTGGCCCCCCCTACTCCTACAGGCCTGAGTATTATGTATAAATCATGTGCAATGGCTATAGTGGTACAAAAAACGGCTGAGGGTTGATATTCTAACACAACAGGCCAGAGAAATACTGTATAAAACTTAACAGATGTCAAAAATGGAAAAGTTACAAATTTACGTTATGCCAATGTCCCCGTAAATCATGCGCAAGGGCTATGGTGGTGCAAAAAAGGCTAACGTTCAATATTCTAACAAAACAAGCCGAAGAAATACTGTTTAAAAGATGTCCAAAATGGAAATTCTACAAATTAACGTTACCCCAATGCCTCTCCAGTCAGGGAGGAATACTGTGACAAACACAGAGGAAATCCCAAGAGCCCAAGGATTTGCAGCCCCACCCCCTATGCATATCACAAGGAAGTGTTAAATGGGTTTGTACGACCTTCTTCAAGGACAACAGACAAAGCTTAAAAAGGACTTCCCTTGTGAAGATCCCAAGACAAATAATATAGATGGCTTAGGGTATTAAACTGAACCAACATAAATATAACACAGTTCGGTTTAATCTCAAATTTGAGTTTACCATAAAATGACACTTCACATTTCCGGGAGTGAGGTTTGTGTATACTGTATGTGTGGCCTGACTTGCAAATTAAAGGCAGCAAAAGATAAATGCAAGTATAAACAGGAAACAGTTTTCATTCCTTTCAAAGTTAAACAAGTATTGGCCAATTAATTCCCACACTGATTCTATTTTATTTAAGTTAATGAGAAGAATACGAAGCTCAAGTTCATTTGAGCTTGAAATCGCACTAACAAGTTAGCAGTTTATCAATATTCTGTTTAGTATTATTGAAATCTCATGTTAGGAAAATATGTCAAAAACATTCAGTTTATAAAACACTCTCCAACAGATTTTGTCGGCCAGAAGTCTACTACACGGATCAGTCAAAACTGAGCTTCACCAATTGCGCCCACTTCATCTAATCAAGCACGCGAAAATCTGCAAGCTTACCTATTTCTAGAGAAAGCCATATACATTACAATCACAGTGAAATATCAAATATATTACCAATACAACGGCCAAATCGCGAAAAGGTAAAAATAACGCATTTGTCGTGCATTCTGATTTGCAATTTTCTAACATAAAGTGACCCACATCATAGCTGATCCCAGTGCAATAAATAAGTTTGCATAGAAAATAAAAGGCGGGAATCAATAAACAATCTCGGTTCGTAGATTTCAAGCGAGGTTGGAAAAAATCAAAAGCAAACTGCACACCAGAACGTGACATGGGAAATTGTTAAAATTTAGGCCTGAAAAAGAACATTCAGTGCTTGTAGATCTGCAATTATACGCAATAAAATCGTTAAATAGTGACGATTTTGTAAATGGGACGTGAATTTATGGAATTCAAAAGTGCAAATCAAACTTGAGCAATGATCTCACACTGAACGCTGCGCGTTCCACTCCATATAGCTTAAAATATTTGGAACATTTTATCCTAAAGATATCTGTTAGTACCTTGAGAGTTTTGTTCCTGCTCGGAATCAGTCGCTACCACCATCCTTGAAAGACTACAGCCTCAACTTTTGCAAGAAGTTTCGAACTTTCAAGAGAAGCGAATGTATGCAAGGATGGACGCCTCCAATTTCAGAACATGCACATGCCAATCAAAACGACAGAAAAAGAGTAGTCACGTGGTAGGGAACCAAAGGCAAAAATCGACTAGTACCCGGAGGGTAGAGATTATAAAGAGCGCTTTCTATTACCTAACAAAGTATATTTGATTAAGTTTTAGAACTACAGCAATCAAGCTATAAGTTTTAAGTTTTATTCTTTCAAGCGAAAGCGCAATTGGAAGAAACTTTCATCACATATCAATCTGTTGTTCAGGTAAACAATTCCTCACTACCCCGCAAAGGATTGGAGGGCTCCAGATCCTTCGGGCGAGTTTTCATCTTCATCTTCAACGTGCACGCTAGTGCAAATGGAGTAGTATTTTATTGCTTGTTTACGATATGAGGTCTCCACGATCATCCATCTAACACGCTAAAAACATTCCTGTTAAGAAAGGACAATGCATACTGAGATCGCCCTCTCTTCCAGTCGAAAACTGAAAGATCGATGATGTGCGCGGGGAGTGTTGAGGAATTCTAGAAATTGGGTGGACAGATGAGCTCAACTTTATCAAGGAATAATATCGAATCTGGTGAATATAGGTAAGCTCAAGATTGTTTTCGTCTGATCTAGAGTTACAGTTCTTTCTTTGATGGAAAGGCATTTTCTTGTTTTTCTTAATAATCTCCTTGGGGATGCAGAAAAGAACACAAGAACGTAAACAAATTCCTTTCAAATATAATTTCGTTCTCTAGCTACATGTGGAAATCCCGTGCTTTACTCTCAACTGAAGAAAACGATATTGTGCATAGTTGTCCTCTTTTCTCACACCCTAAATTGGATTGATAACGATATATAGCTCTTCCATCTGTTCCTAAAAAGGTTAATGGAAGGCACTATATTTTTGAAGAAATGTATACTCACGACTTTTTGACAATCAAAATGAAAACGTTGATCGGATTTTTAAGTATTGAGTACATTTCAACAAGCTCTACATGAGAAACTACTGTGTCCATTGCATGCATGCATGATATCAGTCAAATGAATTGTTTAGGCTCGTTCTTCTAAACACTTCTGCAAAGCTAAGTGCATGTGAGTGTATGACGAAAAAAAAGTGGTTAACTCCTCTTTCACGACCTTTTGACTTCTGAAGGCTTTGAAAAAGTAATGGCCCCTTTTCGGCCGTCCAAATGTTCTGATTTTTTGTCACCTGTTCAAAATTAGATCGTGTACGCTAATATTTCTGTCCGTCTTTTTGAACTATGTTATTATTATGAATTGAGATTGCAAAATGTGGTTTAAACAGCTGAATTCTACAAAGTTATTACAGTCAATCTCGTTGTAATTCAGAAAGTGGAAGACAATAATTTTCAGTTTTATATGTACCAAAACATGCAATCTAAAAAGTGCGTGTGATAGTCATGAATAACTGCAGGTATGTGCAGATTGATCGAGTTTCTAATAAATTGAATCTGATGTTTACCTAAGTCGACCAAACTAAAGCAGGTGCTCTGCTTTATCAGTTAGCAAACAAGCAAACAAAAAGAAGAATTTATTGACTTGGTCCTGGATGCAGAATGTTCAAATATAACTGAGCACTTGATTGTGTGGCGAGATCAAAGAACGCATATGGCAGTAAAGTCTGGAACATATCATTGCATATTAAACATGTGCCAAACACAGCTGTCCTCTGACTCTCAGTCGTTAAACATGCATTAACACGACTCATCTTTCCTTTTTTTTCAGAAAGAAGTGTTAATGAAAATGGCAGCTTTAAGCAGTTTATCTCCACTATCTGATGATGGGTACCCACAGCCATCCCTTTTACCAGGGGAAATAGTTGTTGCTAGAGCCGTCAATGTGTTGCGTTTCCAGACGATGGCAAACCGGAAATCGGGAATATCTGGGGTGTTATATGCAACTAACTTTCGCATGTCATTCTTGACAAGGAACCCAAATGCTGAATCCCAACTCAATTCAGTATTCCAGTCCAACCCTGACTTGTCGCAAGCAGGGGAGATATACTCGGACATTCAAAGGGAACTTCACATCCCTCAGACTTGTATCACAGATATCTTTTACTACTCAAGCTCTACTGCTGATGGTTCCAAAGTGAAAAAGGTTCATCCAGGTTCCAGAATGGCATCCAAAGTCCATTCACTGGAAATACGTTGCAAGGATTTTCGAGTGGTCAGGTTCGGCTTGAAATTTACACCCAAGAAAGAACACGTGAAAATGGTGAATGCTATCGCCCATTACAAGGCTCCAAGCTCCATTGTTCTACTGTTTGCATTCCCTTATAGCGTGGCGGAGAATGAAAACGGCAAGGGAAGGCAGGATACCATACCAACTTTTAGAAATCTGCCTGATTGGTTGAATGAGCTGTCAAGACTTCAAGTTGATGACACTTGGAGAGTAGCAACCGTCAACAGCAAATTCCAAACTTGTCCATCACTGTCTGAGATGTTTGTTGTTCTTTCGTCATTATCAGATTCAGACATTAACAGGATGTCACTCCATTATGTAGACTCACGTCTGCCCATCTGGTGCTGGAGTCATCCCAAGACAGGAATACCTATACTGTGCAGTGGGGCTGGGAGGTAGGTTAAAATAATACGTTTTACAGTCGCTAATCGTTCCATGGTTAGATCGTTCCATTAAACAACTGCATTGCTAAAATGGAGGTTGGGTGCCTGGAGTATCCAGGGGCTTCCACTATTGGAAGCCAGCCCCTAGACTGATTTAATGCCCAATGACTGGCACAACAGCACAAAACATCAGTGGAAAAAAAACAACAAGGCCTAGGGGAAGGAGAGAGGGGGGGGGAATGGCTGACAGAACCCAGCACAAAGGAAAACTGAATGTGCCAATGAATCATATCATAGATTTAGCCAGCTACTGGGCATGCGCACGACAAAGATAGCTAACCTCAGGCACTTAAGGCGCTCTTGGTTGTTAACTCCTTTAAATTGCATTTAAATGCATTTTATGGTCAGATCATTCCACAGTTTTAGTGTAAAACTCACTGTGAAACATGCTTTTTTGGCTTACGGCTTAAAGTTTACACATGAGTAGCACTCTTCTTTTTGCTCATGGCCTTAAGACTCTGACTGATTCTGACTATATTGTGAAACAATATAAGCAAATGGAACAATCTGACCATGGAACGAAGTGACCAGAGTAACCGTTGAACCTCCATGTGTTACCACCTCTCAAGTACTCACCTTTCATAAGTGACCACTTAATAGACAAAACACCAAACTTTTGTTAGTCCAGGGTCTTACAGTTGGAACCTCTAGTAAACAACCACCTTCTGTAACTGACCATGGCCTCTATGGTACCACATTTTGGGGTTGAAAGTTTTATAATTTTCCATTGTTTTTAACCTCTTGCAAACGACCACTTGATGTATGGTCAGAACTCTATAGCTATGTTTGCTGTATGTACTGTGCTGCTTTATTGACAACATGGAACTACATATATTGTATTATTTTGCAATTAAGATGGAATCCACGAGGAAATTGAGTAATTTTTATTTTCAGTGGACAAAAACCTTGCCCAAGAATAATTTAAAGCATATTGCATTCTTTTTTACATTTTTCAAGGGCTAAAGATGTAATTAGTCATCTGTAATAACACCAAAGGAAATTTCTCATGGGAGTCTGAGAAAATGAATGTCAAATTTCACAAGAAGTGTGAAAACACAGGTAAAATTCTGAAAATTTCATGTGTAAGACGTAATTTTGGTAAATTTGACATTCTTTTTCTTGGGCTCACATAAAAAAGTTTCTTTGGTGTTGTTACAGATCACTAATTGCATCCTTAGCCGTCGAAAAATATTTTTAAAAATTGCAATATGCTTTAAATTATACTAGTACAAGGTTTTTGTCCACCGAAAATTAAAATTACTCTATTTCCTGGTGGATTCTGTCTTAATTATCTTCTATAAAGTAGATGAGTCGGGACCTAGTCCGGACCCCTTCTCAGAGGAGACCCCTGATGGCTCAATTCTTGTAAGCCACTACCTCCAATAAGCGACCATTTCAAGCCCTTCCTGGTTTTCTCACCAACTTGTCTTTTTAGACCAGAGAGCATATTCTTAGAGAAAGAGGAAACGTCTTTCTTCAGAGCACTGTCCCTGATTCCATGCAACGCAGAGCACAAAGAGGTGAAGGTCGTGAACTTAACAAAGACTTGTCCAACAATAAAAGAGCTACAGCAGAGCTTTCTTAAGGTTAAGGAACTCTGCATGTTGGAAACAAGTAGAGAATTTTGGAGCATGGATTCTACTTGGCTGACAAGCTTGGAAGCATCAAGGTATGTTGTAATGAATAAGTTGCTGTAATGTAATGAATAAGTTACTGCTGGATCATCTAGCCTCATGCCGCCATTACTTAGGCCCTGAGGACATTTTGTCTTCCAGTCTTCCACTCCATCGTACCCTCAGGAGCTGAAATTGGGGGGATTTTGTAAAAAAGATCAGTGTAGAGTCAAGTAGTTATGGTAGTAACACAGCCACTGCAGTATGTAGTAGCTCTTCATTAACCCTTTAAACCCTAAGATCAAAATTTGAATTCTCAGTTGTTGCCCCTATTCGTTTCCTACAGAAGCAGTGAGGAGAAGTTGATAAAATATCAGGCAAATTCATCTTGTGTGATCATGTCCGTGATTCTCATGACCACTTGGTTTTACAAAGCATTGATGTTACAAGGATAAATTTGATGCTGATTACTCTTAGGGCTTAAAGGGTTAATATTATGGAGATTGAGAGAATAGTCAGAATGGAATATGGCAGTGTTTTTTTCTTGATGTTGGTTAATTCATTTGTTTCCTTTAAAAGTTGGTCATGCAGGGCTGTCATTAAGTGGCGGAGGCCGAATATTTCCCCTGGCTACTTTCGTAGGAAAATAGAAGAAAGATAGAACCAAAAGAAGTCCCTTAAGCTTCTTTATTCCCCACCGACTTGTTGTATTTACCTGGCAACTGTCTATTTAGGGTGAAAACTTCACCACCCTTTGGGGCACTAAGGGAGATTTTCGACAAAACTGGCAGTCCCCTGGCAGGAACAGGGAACTTTGTGGGTCTGTGTGTGAGGGGGACAGGACAGGATTAAAAAATCTTAGCTTGTTTGTCACATGTACATAATTATTTTACTAATTTAAGTTATCTTATGTTAAAATTACCAGTTTTATATTATTCTTGGCTTATTCCTTTATCATTTTCTTGAATGTCGTTAGAATTGGGGTAAGTGAAGCTGAAGAGTATAGATAAAAATGGTCTTACACTTTCATTATTGTTATTTTGTAGGTGGTTGAACTGCGTAAGACTTTCACTTGTTGGTGCCATGGATGTGGTGGAATCCATTTCTCTTGACCGTTCACCAGTAATTATCCAAGAAACTGGAGGTCGAGATTTTGTACTGGTTGTTGGAAGCCTTGCTCAGTTGATTCTAGACTCATTTTACCGAACAATAAGAGGTTTCCAAACCCTTATTCAGAAAATGTGGGTGCTTGGGGGTCACCAATTCCTCCAACGCTGTAACCACATCAGGAAATCACACCAGGAGACTGAGAAAGAGGAATCTGTGGAGTCCCCTGTTTTTCTTCACTTCATAGATTGTGTGTATCAATTGACACAACAGTTTCCGTCTGCATTTGAATTCTCGGAGACATACCTTCATGCTCTGTTGGACACAGTGCATGCATGCATGTTTGATACATTCTTGTTTGATTGTGAGAAACAGAGAGATGAGTTGTGTGGGACAGAACTTGGTGGAAACTCAATGGTATCGCTGTGGGATTTTGTCTCAGAGCAGCTCGAACACGCTAGAAATTCAGAGCCTTATGTAAATCCATTGTTCGAGTATCAAAAGTCGTTGGATGAAGGAATCGCAAATGGAACAAGCACAGATTCTTACCTTAAGGTGAACACGCTTGCTCCTGGGATAAAGTTCTGGACTGGACGTTATCTAAGATGGCTGCCAGTGGTACATGTCAGCACTGGTATGGGAGAAAACTCATCTTCTCATTTTCAGCAAATGATCCTGGCAAACGAGCTTAGGATCTTGCGACATCGTCTGGCTGTCAACAAGTATGAGCAAAATCCTAAAGAAAACCCCATTGATGGCGACAAAGCCCTTGGATTTGATGGAACTGATTTTGAGATAGGCGGTGACTTAAGCTTGGACTTAGAAACAAGCAAGCTGCTCACACCCAGTCTGCCATTTATAGGAGACCTCGCGCTAAGCAAGTACTATTCTGGTGATTTGCTGACAACTGGTGGTGCAGAGAATGCGGTTGAAGTGGGGAAGTTTTGAATAACATTCATACCCACAGTCTTGCTACTGATGTTAATTAAAGCCACGGCATTAGTCAGATGGCATCCAATTAGAATGTGAATCATTCAGCATATTGAGCTTCACTTTGAGTGTATTCTAACTTGCAATTGGCTTGACAGTACTGGAAAGCAATAGTGTTTTAAAGTGGAATTCGCACGAAACGAGCTGATTACTGTTGCAGTGTCAGTACTAAAAAGTTACCTCCCAAGGGAGAATAGTTCATGCACCGGTACTTTTATAATATATAAAAGGACATATTAGTTTTGGTATAAAGATTTGCACTCTATATTAATCATTGTTTTGTTCTGGAAAATATCCACTCTCTCCACCCACCATGTACCCCATGAAGGCTTTGTCTTAACACTCATCCTATTCCCCCTACCCCACGCCCCAAACTTCCCTCCACCCACACCCCACACCCCTTCTATAATTCCACTGTATTGTTTTAATATCCATTGCATTGTTCCAGAAAATATCAATACTCCCTCAAAGAGGGTTCATTGGCTTGAACCCCCAACTCCAAATTCCACCCATATTCAATTTCTACAGTGGCTTCAGACTTCCTTCAAAAAATTTGGTTTACTACCTCCCCTCTCCCCACCATCCCGGGCGCGGATCCATACCGGTTTCCACCGTTTTACGGAAATCGGTCAGATATTTCATAATAGATATATTTTTAGTAAAAACTTTAAACTTTCCAAGTTGAAATCTGGAGAATGGTTTGGACAGTCACTAAATATCCTGTCTGAATGACTCAGAAACCCAGGAAATGGGACTTTGGGGAGTTAAAATCCAAAACATTACCCGGGGGAGCATTCCCCCAGACCTCCCTAGAATAGGAAATCGGTCAGTATTTATTCTACATCCGCACCTGCATCCCCCACCTGCATCTGACCCGGAATTTCCAAAGACCCCTCAAAGCGTGGGAGTGGATATTTTCTGAACTGTACATTACAACCTTCAACTTTTTTTATCAGCCTCTCCCCTCTCTATTAATCTATGGCAATCCCCAAGAGGTTTTATTAATGTGGAGAGTATTATGGACATAGTTCTTGCATCTTAACAGAAATAAAAAATGTTAATTTACTTTTAGTTGTTAGTAACTGGCATGCTGTGTAATTTGTTGCAGATGAAAATTATTATTTTTTAATTTTATATTTTCAGTGCCACATTCTTAAAAGGTAAACTTGATTATTTGCATAACAATCTTTCAGGTGTATTAAAAAAGTAATCAATATGTAATGGCCTTTGGCACATAATATTTTTATGTTTGCGTTTGTGATTTGTAAAAGCAAAATAAAAAGATATTTTTCTTACGGAACATTTCTCCTCCCAACCCAACCTATTTTCCTATTTTTTGAAGGACACAAAACGCAGCAATAGCAAGTGCATTAGAGCATTCTCCTCCTCAAAACTAGCATTTTTCAGAACATACGCATTGCTATTGGCCGTTTCCACACTAGAGACGGATAAACCATCTTCAAAATCCGTCAAAATTGACAGAACAACAGATGGATAAAGTCACGAGGATTGTTCATCAAAAATTAAGACCGTTTCATTTTCAAATTAAGACGTCTGACGCAACGGATAATCCGTCTGTAGTGTGAATGGTCGTACTGTCATACTTGTTAAAAAATAACTTTAAAAAAACTAAAACTGTTTCAACTGCTTAGCTTGAACTCGGGGCTGCTTGTGTATACCAAACAGACTGTTCGGGGTTTCTACATAGCGACGGCACTTCATCTGGCCTGAGAAAACAGCGGACATTTAGAGACGCAACCACTGGTTCCCCCGCGAAATTACGTCCGCAAAACGAGCGCAGAAATTAGTCGTGCCGCCTGGCTTCAGCCAATCAAAAGCATCCCCCAGATCTGGGTAGTTACGCGTCATCAGAATGTAATATATTCAGCAATATCTGCGCTCGTTTCGCAGGGAAACCAGAGAGGGTGTCGTGAAATGTCGGCTGTTTTCTAAGGCTACACTTCATCTCAGGTCTATTGGACCCAGTCTCTTGGTACCCATTGTTCTTCCCGTTCAAGCCCCTCAACTGCTTCAATGATGTTGTTATAAGCTTCTTCGGTGTCTTTATTGACCACTGTCAAATCAAAGAACTTCCCATAATTGTCTTCGAGCTCTTTTGACGCTCTAAGCATTTCCTGCAAATCCTCTTCCTGTATCGTAAGAAAAACGATACATCATCTTAGCATCGCCTTCATTCTTAAAGCTGTACAGACAGCGTTTCTCGTATACTGTTCGGTGTGTTCACGAAAATTTTGATGACTGGATCCTACAGCACCCGGCACGTTGTCTCTTGCTACATTCAACGAATCATCATCTTTATAGTTGGCCAATATAGCTCGGTGCTTCTTAAACATTTTGTTGTGGGTGCGAGTAAAGCTTGCTGAATCTTTACCCAGTTTCCCACCAAAATATGTGATTTTGCCCCCAAAAAACAAACCCTCACTCCGTTTCTGTCCCAAAGGGCTATGAGGCAACTTCACCAATTGGACGGGCTGGAAAAATCGCGATTACGTAAATTAGCTCAAAACAGTCACTCGACCCCAGAACTCTTCTGCGGATAACGCGCGGAGTCAGAAGCGTAAGACTGGGATCGAGAACTGACTCTGTTGTCGCATGCGCCGTAGTGGTTGCTTAAAATGCTATGTTTGACTAGAGAGGGGAGAGATATATAAGGATGTGTGAGATATACTTTTCTCAGAGAACCTCGCTTAAAGCTTCATTCTCAGAGAGCTCTTTTCGTGAACTTGAAACAACAGTAAAGTACCTTGAATGTCCTCATGTTTGTGCTATTTGAAGGCCTTTCAGCTTTTCCAGCCTGCTGTACCGTGAGTCTAGATGTACGAAGTTCCTTCAGCGGCGGAGGTTTGATGAAGATGCAGTAAGGTTTGAATTCTGCTGTTCGCAATAACAGCATCACCTACATGGAACAAACAAAACGTCCAAGATAAGATAACGAGATGCTAGCGCCAATTACATCAGGGGGGAACAACTGTTAAGCTTCCGCCCTCATCAGACGTGAACGTAAGTTGGAAAGTAGTGGCGGATGCAGGGGAGCGGCCCGGGGTTCCCCCTTATTTTTAGACCAAACTGAGGCCCGAGGGGCCGAAAAAATTTTTTTCTGAGACCGGACCCCCCCTTATCTCAGGGTCTGGTCCCCCTAATCTGAAGTTCTGTATGCGCCACTGTAAAGTACGTCTGTTTAAGGACCAAACCAATCAGAAGCCAGGATTTATACCACGCGGACGAATGCACTAACTTGCCGTATTGCTATTACACTTAAGCCGCAAGTTCACGTTAAGAGGCCATTTAAAAATTGTAATCTACAAGACGCGTCTAACTTTGTCCTGATATAAGTCTCGGCTTTAACCGTCCTTGTATCAAAAGCTCAACAACTGATTTTTACGCCCAAAATAAAACATCGCTTCATCTCTACCCGTTACTCTCCCGGTTCGATTTTTACTCGGGCTATCTTTTTGCCCGAACAAAACTCAGTCAATGGCTTCTTCGCTGATGCGGCGAACTAACACGTTGCGGAGTCTTTTTTATTCTTGAAGGAAATTTAGACAATTTACCTTGCTAAGCCTTAGACTTCAAACCCTAAAATTCATATGGAAGACCACTTTCCCATCTTTCGTAAAATACTAACCATGTTAAAAATAAATAATTGACATGCAAAAGTACTGCGGAAGAGGCTGCCCACCTACCCCTACCCCACATCACAATTTTGCCATAAGTAGGAAGTAAGTGTTAATGTTGGCTTAGGGGAGGGGTAGGTGTTGAGTCTCCCCGAAACCTAAATTGATCCCTTTTTACCCGAACACGTCGCTAACACACTTACCTCGGGCTGAACTTTAAGAACGCATGTTTTGCCAGTTTTTAGAGCTCGTTTTATGGAGTCCTTCGACGTGCCATATAAGCAACCTTTGTATTCACCAAACTCGATGAATTTTTTCTTTGATATGAAAGTCTCCATTGTCTGGCGCGATACAAAGAAATATTCCCTGCCGTCTGTTTCATAACTCCTCATATGTCTTGAAGTATCTGAAAGCGCATAAAATTTAACACAACGGAGTACCGTCAACTAGCTCTTAACGGGACACCTCTATACACCTAGAGTTGGTTCCTGCCTTTCTTTACTTCTTTCAGTTGACTCTCTATAAGACGGACACCTCTTTTAGAAGGACACACAGTGCCGGTGCCAAAGGTGTCCGTCTTAAAGGGAGTCGATTATACAGTCAACTATCTCTTAACAGACACCTCTATAAGATGGACACCTCGCTAAAACGGACACCTAGAGTTGGTTCCTGTCTTTCTTTACTCCTTTTAGTTGACTCTCTATAAGACGGACACCTCTCTTGGAAGGACACACAATGCGGTGCCAAAGGTGTCCGTCTTAAAGTTGGGGAATCAATCATTCTTAACAGTCATGGACACCTCTCTTAAAACAGACACCTAGAGTTGGCCCCTATAAGATGGACACTCTCGTAAGACGGAACGGACACCTGGAGTTGATCCCAATTCCTCTAACGGTTTGGACACCGTCCCTGCCTTTCTCCCTCCTTTTATTTGACTCTCTATAAGACGGACATCTCTCTTAGAGGGACACACAGTGCCAGTCTCAAAGCTGTCCATCTTCAAAGAGGATCGACAGTATCGATTTCGTGGAGGAAGAATTCACAAGCCCTAGCAATGTATACTTTTGTCGACCAAAAAACCCGCTTTGAGTCGTTTTTTGACAGACGACTAATATATAACGGACACGACCGTCCTTTTCAATTGTGAGACGTAACTAAGTTTCAGGAGTGAAATTAACTGCAACATCATCAAACACTACGTAGGACTGAAATAAAATGAGCAATTTTGGATAGAATATATCTTACGAGGAACTGTTGTGACAAATTTATCTGGGTTGCTGGCCAGAAGCATCTTCTTCAGTTCGTTTCTTCCTACACCAGACGCCCCTGTTAAATGAATATTAAACTAAAAATGAATCTGACAACAAGAAATAAGTAATTAAGTATGTACGCGTAATTAGAGGTAGGCAAGTAAGCAAGCAAATCAGCAATTAAGTAAGTAAGTCATTAAGTATCGATAAATAAGTAAGGAAGTAAATAAGTACGTATACTACGACTTGTCAATAACTGATACAGAGTTGTCACCATACCAATCAACAAAAGAAGCCTTCTTTTCTCTGAAGTTTCCAGATATTTAGCTACAGGTTCATAGGCAGGCCATCCGTCCATTTTTACCTCTGTTTTGAAATTGAAATTAAAAAAAAGTAAAAAAAAAAGAGTCAATAAGTGGTTACGTTAGTTAAGAGCAATTTGTGTGAAGCGTTTACTTAAACAATCAGAATTGCGTCGCACTGTTTTTAAAGAAGACTATGGTAGCTAAGAGTCTGTGTTGTAGTTATACGCTTATAAGGCTTATTCAGCGGTTAACGGGTCTATAGAAGGTTAAGGCAAGAAGGCAGCGTTTACTTAACAATCAGAATTGCCTCGCACTGTTTCTAAAGAAGACTATCGTAGCTAAGAGTCTGTGTTGTAGTTATAAGCTTAAGGCTTATTCAGCGGTTAAGGGGTCTATAGAAGGTTAAGGCAGGAAGCCTTCGATTCCTGTATAGAAAAAAATTAACGCCCCTAGTTGCCAACAATATGTGCTCTCCTTTACAATAGCTGCCCTACAGAATTAATTCCCTGAAATCCAGGATATTTTTTCTAGTTAACTCTCTTCTTCTATCACTCCCAATTAATAAAAGCTTGGTAAAGCTTTTTAAAAGGGGCACAAACCTTCGACAAAATTGCACAAGACCTTGTTCAAATCATTCTTTCTTTTTCGCCAAAATGGTAATGTTCTCTTTCCTAAAAAATATAAAAGATATTTTAAACTGTCTTGGTTACGACAAAACAAGGGTTAGGATACAGGGGGAAGAGGTGACCCCATACATCAATACGTCTATCTCACCGGAGCATGTTTTAAAAAATATGTAACGATCTAACTGTTTTGGGACTAAACCAATTATCAGCAAGCAGTGTGGCTCACTAGAACTCTCCACTGTAGAACGGTTTTCAAACCACGGCTCATGCACGACTACAAGGCTGGCCAGGATCCAAATTTGACGCAGAAGGATTTACATTCTTTAGATGCAGATCCGACTAATTTCTGTGTTCTGTTTACCCTTAACTTTGCAACTGCATTTCTGTGATCTGTTTGCGACTTAATTTGCGACCAGTAAAAAGAGCATAAGTTGCTGTTTCCCCTGTTCCCCCTTGTTACCCCTGTTACCCCTTGTTACCCCTTGTTACCCTTGTTACCCCTGTTACCCCTTGTTACCCCTTGTTACCCCTGTTACCCCTTGTTACCCCTTGTTACCCCTGTTACCCCTTGTTACCCCTTGTTACCCCTTTGTTACCCCTTGTTACCCTTGTTACCCCTTGTTACCCCTTGTTACCCCTGTTACCCCTTGTTACCCCTTGTTACCCCTGTTACCCCTTGTTACCCCTTGTTACCCCTTGTTACCCCTTGTTACCCCTTGTTACCCTTGTTACACCTGTTACCTCTGTTACCCCTGTTACCCCCCTTGTTACCCTTGTTTGTTACCCTTTGTTGTTGTTACCCCCCCTGTTACCCAGTTTTGTTACCCCTTGTTGTTGTTACCCCCTTGTTACCCCTTGTTACCTTGTTACCCAGTTACCCATGTTACCCAGTTACCCCATGTTACCCTTGTTACCTCTGTTGTTCCCCCTGTTACCCTTGTTTACCCCCCTTGTTACCCCTGTTACCCCTGTTACCCCAGTTACCTCATGTTACCGCTGTTAACCCCGTTACCCCTTGTTACCCCTGTTACCCCTTGTTACCCCTTGTTACCCCTGTTACCCCTGTTACCCCTTGTTACCCTTGTTACCCCTGTTACCCATGTTACCCATGTTACCCCTTGTTACTTCTTGTTACCTCTGTTTCCCCTGTTCCCCCTTGTTACCCTTGTTACCCCTTGTTACCCGTGTTACCCCTTGTTACCCCTTGTTACCGCTGTTACCCCCGTTACCCCTTGTTACCCCTTGTTACCCCTGTTCCCTCTGTTACCCCTTGTTACCCCCTGTTACCCAGTTACCCTTTGTTACCCCTTGTTACTCTTGTTACCTCTGTTACTCCTTGTTACCCATGTTACCCCTTGCTACCCCTTGTTACCCTTGTTACCCCTGTTACCCCTTGTTACCCCTGTTACCCCTTGTTTTCCCTTGTTACCCCTGTTACCCCTGTTACCCCTTGTTACCCCTGTTACCCCTTGTTACCCCTTGTTACCCCTTGTTACCCCAGTTACCCCTTGTTACCCCTTGTTACCCCTGTTACCCCTTGTTACCCCTGTTATCCCTTGTTACCCCTTGTTACCCCTGTTCCCTCTGTTACCCCTTGTTACCCAGTTACCCTTTGTTACCCCTTGTTACCCCTATTACCTCAGTTACCCCAGTTACCCTTTGTTACCCCTGTTACCCCTTGTTACCCCTGTTACCCATGTTACCCCTTGATACCCCTTGTTACCCCTGTTACCCCAGTTACCTCTTGTTACCCCTTGTTATCCCTTGTTACCCCTGATTAACCCTTGTTACCCATGTTTGCCCCTGTTACCCCTTGACACTGTTAATTGAGAAGACTTGGGGATGAAGTTGAGTTGTTTTGGTTGTGAAAAGAAAAATGGCCGAATAGTCGGGGGAACATTTTAGTTGTTTCACGACGAACTATTGGCTTAAACAAAGCAAGAAGACAACTCGACGGACAACATCTGCTTTTTGGAGTATATTTCCAGACCTGATGGTATTTATATAAAAAGAATTATGCAGATCTCGGAGGGTGGATAACACCTTCGTCGATCTTCCTAATTCTTCACATCCTACTCAGCCTCATTCATTAATTGCTAATTATGTGCACCGACCTCGTCACGTCTGGATGATTTTTCCGATATATTTACTTATATACTAGTAATGATAACAATATTTTTGCGGGGAAGCTTGTAATCCGGAAATACCCTAGATAGAACCCTGGGTCTGGTTCCTGAAAAGCCGATTAGTGCTAATCCAGGATTAAAATTTTGTTCTGTTTTTGTAATTTATCGTCCTATGTATTGCTTAGAGTAACATTTTGTGTTATCAGCCCTGTATTTCGCAGTAAAGGCTCAATAGTGTTATTTTTGCTTAGTTAACAAAACCTTGATTAAAAGTTGGCTTAATCCTGGAGTAAAGTTAACCATCTTTTAAGGAACAATGGCCCCGATATTTACCATTTTTGTCCTGATGAACGTTTATGTCACTTGAAGGTGAAATCGTTTTAAACTGCTGACGTCTAAAAGGCAAATAATAAAGTTAATGGAAGAGAAAAACGGTTGACCTGAATGAGTTCCACCATTAATCTAATTTAACACTTGGCGTCGGCTATTAAAAGGAATCAAATTCTAAGTCACCCTATGAAGCGGCTTTCGATTGGTGTTGCGAAATTCATAACAAAACGATTACTTTCATAAAAGATGCAGAACCAGGCTTTAACCAACCAACAAGAACTCAAAGCCAATTTCTGTACCTGGCGTAAGGCACGGGAAAAGAGATGCTCGTATGCCAAGGTTTGTTTTCCTTGACTTGTAATTGGTCGACAATGTAGCCAATCATAAATGACGCAGAGATTCTAATCAAACAATAAGTACTCGAGAGCCATTTCCCTGAGTAAAGCGAAATAAGACATATGCGGTGCCATACTTGAGATTGGCTTAAAACATGGCACGAGATTGCCATGCGCAAGGAAGCCGTGATAGGTTTTGGTTTTACTAGTAACTGGCTAGAAGAGTTCTAAGTCATTCAAATAGCACAAGCATGCGAGTGCCAAAGGCAGCGAGTCCAATAAACCAATCAGAAATAAAAGCTTTCGTAAAGAGCGGGAAAACGCCCGAGGGCAAGCTGCGATTGGTTTTAGGTTTACTCGTCATTGGTTGATAAGCTGGCATGAGATGTCTCAGCCAATCACGATGCCTTATACTGCAATGACGAAATTACTGCAATTCGCAGCTGATCAGACGGATGCTCAATCTTACTTTTCTTGAAAGTCCTTGCTTGGAATGAGTCCTGCTTTATCGTGACTGCACCCGTCCTTTCTGGCCTAGAATGGTAGAACTAATTGTAAGTTGGGAAAATATAATAGCTGTGGTATTGCATTTATTTACCAGTACAAAGTGTTTTTACCGGGAAAACTTTCTAGATTTCAGCATGTACAAGATAAGGCAACTATCGGCGTAAGATCATGTAAATCTGAATAACAGCGACAATCAGTACCACTTATAATTTTCTGTCGCTTTGAGCCCAGTGCCACCTACATTTTCCATAAAAAAAATTAATGTAGGCTCTTAACCGGGAAAAAGCCTAAAATGAAAAACGCTGGTGTAAAAGCATTGTTTTCCTTCATCAAATCTCGTATCTGTCGCTTCACGTTTGCTTCCAAAGTCGTCTGCGGAGACACAAAATATAGTTCAAACACTGGAACCTGTGGAAAACATTATATGATGTGTCTTTTCGAATGAGGCATAACAAGGACCTTTTAAGATCTGACGATGGCGACGGCAACGACAACGTCAAAAAAGAAACAGATTTAAGCAAAACAACAACTTTGCACGTGCATAAATGTTTTCTGTACATTGCTTTGCCGTCACTGCACGACTACGACGTGAAAATGCCTATTTTCGCGTTTTATGGAGGACGTATACAAGGGACGGCAAAATTCTGTTTCTGCACTTGGACATGGTTCTAAAGAATTCAACTCCAGGAAAGTTAGTCTACATTTGACGAAGCCATTAGAGTTGGAATAATCACGATTAAGATTTTCAATTTTTGAGCGACGTTTTTGCTGCCGTCACCGTCCTCCGATCTTAAGGGCCCTGTTCAACTCACCTGCCACCATTTTGCGTCTTCCATGTTGACAACGTGCAGGATGTCTCCCGTGGAAAAGGCAATCCCCACTTCCTTACAAGGTATCAGCGGGTCTTGCAGAGGATTGTAATCAAAGAAGGCTCTTAGGCTCACCTTTCGATAACACACAAGGAAGATTGTACCAAAAAAGGACGAAAATGAGGCGAGAGACTGCAGCGAGATCTAAACTGTAACTTTGAATCAACTGTGAAACGTTATCGAAACCTGTGTCACTTCTTCATGGATCAGTAGAAATTTAGCCTGTAACAGCCTCTAAGCCCGGTTCAGACGCCGAACTTTTCATGAGCCGAATTTAATTCGAATTAAGGCCGACCCAGATTATTTAGACTGGCTGAATTGATTCGGACGCCGATGTTAATTCCAGCCGAACTGAATTCAGAAGGAAAAAAAATGCTCATTTGGGTCAAACCGCTTACAAAATACGTCATAAGAATTTATGCATTAGGTTCGGTACAGAAAAGTTCGGCGTCTGAATCAAAGGCGTTCCAAAGTCGATCCAAAGGCGAAATTCCCGGCCGGGCTAAGCGGAAAGAAGGGCTGAGCCGTTCCAAATTGAAACAGGCGTTCCTATTTGATTCAGACGCCGAACTTTTCAAAAACTTAGTTCAATGTATTAAGTTCGGCTCATGAGAAGTACGGAGTCTGAAGCGGGCGTAAAATATAATACAGTCTAATCGTGATAACTGATCTATGATGTGAAAAAGCACGGTTATTGGGGAAAGATGAGGCGTGTCTTTTTTTCGTCTGTTTTGTGTTTTCGGGATGCCCTGCTATCGCCCCCTTGTAAGGGATTCCGGATTCCGGAAAAGTTTTGAATCAGGGTAAAAAAAGTTTCCGGAAAAGTTTCCGGAATCAGGGTAAGTTTTGCTTGTGGAAACCGGACTCCTGGGCTTTGGAATCCAGAATATAGCTCAGGGAATCCTGAATCCCACTAAGGATTGGAATCCAGGATCCAAGTTCCAGGGACAAAGACTGGAATACAGTACCTGGAATCCGGAATCCATTGAATGGAATCCAGAATGTCTGAAAGGGAATCCAGTCTTGGATTCTCTTACATGGGGGAACCTACTACCGTAAAATTCCGAAAATAAGCCCTTGCATGTACAAGCCCCTCCAAATATAAGCCCCCCAAAATCGTAACGCAAAAAACCCTCCGTTAAATCGCCCCTCCGAATATAAGCCCCTCGGAGGAGTGTACCTGGAATTTGCCTCGAATTCAAAGTAAAACAAAGCAAAAATGGTAAATTTCCTTCCCACTGCAAGCCAGCCCAATCGAATTTGAAACTCAAATTTCCCTCTGTACATAAGCCCCTCCGAACATAGGCCCCTCCAAACATGAGCCCCTCAAAAAGGGCCTTTGAAAAATATAAGCCCCAGGGCTTATTCTCGGAATTTGACGGTATCTGGGAGCCTGGCACAGGGTAGGCTAGTGGAATTCCTGTTGAAAGTGCGTAAATGTATATAAAAGGGTAGGAAAAACTGTCAATTCAGTTTCCTGAAAAGACTCTAAAATGGCTCGAAGAAAAATTTATGGTTGTGAAAAACTCGACAAAATTTCCTGGTTTTGTGACTTTTTCATATTCTTAAAGGCAGTGTAATTACAGAAGTCAAAAGGAATGCAGGGCCTTAGCTAGGTCTTGTGTAACGGGCGGCGGGGGAGGGGAATATCGCAAGTGCCGAAGGTACGAGCCTTGTAGGGGGGTCTGGCAGTATCCCCTCGGAAAATTTTCAAATTTGGAGGCTCCAAAACGTTATTTTCAACACTTGTCATGAGATATGTCTTCCAAAACTTGACCTCGAATATATAAGTGGCAAACAATAACCAAAATAAAGGAGTCTGCAGAAAACAAATCCATCCACAGACTTGATTTGTTTGGCTCAACAGGTTCGGGGGGGGGCAGCTGCTTGCCCCCCCCCTAGCTACGGCTCTGGAATGTGACGATCTATACCAGTATGTGAAAGGGGTGTCATTTTTTTAATGGTAGGTATATGAAAGGGCTACCCTTTCTGTCAAAAATGGTATATAAAAGGGAAGCAGTTGAACCTCGGATCGGAGCCTCCATGTATAAAACTTTGTTGACTACCCCCCTGGGATTGTTTAGCTGTACCTTTGTCTCTCTTGTAAGTTTCCTGTCGTTTCTCAAGGGAACAATCTTGAAATCAACACTCCCTGTTATTCCATCCTAAGACATGGGTAAAGACGAGAGAAGAGTAATATTAGAGGCAATCATTGATAACGGATCCGCGTTCTTCACTTACGAAAAATTAAGGAGACGAAATCGAGTCGAAAGGAGTCCAGTTTCCCGGCCGAGGTGCCCCTGATAAAATTAATAGGCGCGGCTAATTTGCAGTCGCCCGTGATAGCTCGAAAATTTCTGCCTTAGTGCCACAGGAGCACCAGATTAGGATGCGTTCTGACAAACGCGAAAAGATTCATTTAAGAAAATCGCTCCTCGATCATGGTATATTAAGGCTAACAAGCTCTACGGTTCGCCCTCTAAAATACAATCACAGGACTTAGAACATAGAGGATCTTGAACAATGTAATTCTTTCCAAATCGGGGACAATCTACTTCGGGTATTCATAAGAAAATGCGTTAGTAACGTTATTTGCTTTTTCTCATTTTCCAAGCTACGCTAACAGAAAGCCATTTAAAAAAAATTCGATTTTACGATGCAGTGCTTCCAGGCTTACGGAAAGACGACGTAAACAGGGGCAAAATATTCGTCTTTTTATATCGATTGTATGAACAGTTTAAGGTATAAGTACGTGAAGGATAAATAACATTCACGATCAATAAAGTTTGAGCAGTGATATTCAGACAATGTCGGCTAGTGTTGTTTCTTGACTTTTTTGAAACTTAAAATTGCATTTTAGCTTTGCTATAGTAACTTCCAGTTTTTCTTGCCTAGAAGTTAAAAGTATCTCAGAAGCTCCTCATGTTATCGTTATCAAGTTTGCACACAAGCGCACATTCGTTTCGGTTAGAGGTCCGACTCACACCTTTAATATAAAGCTGAAACCTTGAATGCATCATCGAAACCTTGAACTTCAAGCTTTCACTTCCAGAGTTAAACCTGAAGAAACGTAAATGTTGTTCTAACTTTTGAGCTTGTGAATGAAATCCAATGATTGAACCGTTCAAACGAAACGTCTTAGGCTGTACTTTCGCTTTGGTATTATTTGTTTTTCAGCTTTTTACGAAATGAAATTCTTCGACATAATATGGATTTGAGGCACTTTCAGGAGGCCAAGAGTGAAAATAAGAATTATTCTTTCGTTTACTTACCATCAGGTCTGCAACTTCGTTAGCAGTCATTCCTTCCACTCGTCTGCCGTTAATTTCCAATATTTCATCATTAACATGAAGTGTACCTTAAAAATCCAAATAAAGCTTGTGTTAAGAAAGGTTAATCTCCTTTAATACCTCCTGTCAAAAACTGTCATGATTCAATAAACAAATTTCTTTTTACTTACCAAAGGTATGAGCTAGCCCTCCGCTCAAAATTCTTGCAACGATGATGCGTTCAGAGTTTTCCGTGTCCTTGACTGCTTTTACAGTAATTCCCTGCAGAACGTACAAATGACTTGATTTGTGTATTGTTGCCATGGCTACAGAGTTATCGGCAAGGACGACTTCAATGTAAAAAAGCCATGATCACACAAACACATGTATTAACCCTTTAAGTCCCTTTAAGAATAGTGGAGAGAATTTGACTTAAGACGTTTTCCCTTTGGTAATCAATTAAGTAATTCTCATAACCTTTACTCTGGATGATCTGCTGATGTTGTTAGGAGAAAATTGATGTGGATCAATTGAGGTTTCTGGGTGACTGACCACCTACCCCTCTCCTAGGTCACAATTTTGCCCTCAATGAGAACTAAGACAGTGTTTACGTTGACTTAGGGGAGGGGGGGGTGGTCAATAGCCTGAAGAACAGGCTCTATTTTTTCGCGCTTTTCGGGCGAGCGGAGCACAAAGCGCAGGAAGCGGACTTGGAGCTCGAGACACGCGCGACGGGCTACCCCCCGTCGCGTGTGTCTCGCGTTCCTTGCTAAGGCCAAAAAATGATGCCTGTTCTGCATGCTATTCATTTGTTAATCATAACTATAACAAAATTCTCAAATCTGATTGGCTATCAACTGCCCTGATTTCAGCCTTAATTGGACAATTTAATAGGACAGTACGCGTCATGCCTAAGTAATTGGACAGTACGCGCCATCAAGCGCGCGCTTAAATGGCTTTTTTTTTCACTACTAGCAAAAAAAATTGGAATTTCTTCTGTTTTAATTTCAAAAAAGGGCCTTATATATCACAAATTTTGTTAAAGTTATGATTAATTGGTAACAGAACTTCGTGTCGTCCAATTCAGTCTGTAATCATACTCGTAATTAAACAAATCGGACTCCCGCTACGCGGTCGTCCGATTTTGTTAATCACTCGTATGATTACAGACCGAATTGGACTCCACTCAGTCCTGTTACCATTACTAATAGGATAAGCTGGTGAGTGATTATCGCCAGCACTATTAACCAAATTGTTTAAGCGGGAGTCGTCATTTTAATTATCGTACGGTGGGTAGGAAAGCCCGGTTATTAAATACTGAGATAAAAAATACATTAAAAATTTCTCGCCAGATATCTGTGGTATGGCCTCCTGTTATAACTTATTTTAAGTAGTGAGGGAAAATTAGCAGAACTGTCATAATGATTGAGTGAGCACGGTCAACCGGCAACCCACTAAGTGCGTCTGCTAAATAGAATAGACAAAAACATACTACTAACTAAAAAAATCTTATCATCTAAGGATATAATTTACACTTTAATTGCAAATCGCAAACATTGTACTTACAAGTGTTTCTTTAGCATTCCTAAACAATCTGACGGTTTTTGCAGCGCTGTCAAACCGTGAAAGCACAGGTAACCCAAGCTTTTGTCTGGTAACAACTTCACTTTTTTGCCCATCTTTTACGGCTTTTTCTTCGCCATTTTTCTGGAATTCAACTTCGCTGTCCCTACTTTTGACGCCATTTACCAAGTTTTCATCTTTGGCTTCAGTACATTCCTCTTCTTTGATATAAGCTGGTATAACATTTTTTTCATCTTCTGTCGTCGCACCACGAACCTCGCTAACATCATTGAGATTTACCACGTGTGCCGAAAATGTGTCTAATTTTTCCACAGTCTCCGTATCAGGAGTGGATATATCCCACCGCAGTGGATCAGAATTGAAATTCTCCGGATTTGCTGAGTCAGTGCCTTGTGCCCACACTGTTAAAACCGAGTTATGTTTGTTTTCAAGATTAGTATCTTTGGAGAAAGAATCAGCATCCAGCGCATTATCATCTGATGCGTCTTTCATTTCGTCTGAGCCATATTCCTCTCCTACTTCTGCTTGCTTCCCGCTACCTTCATCATCGTAATTTTCGTTTTCGACGTCGTAATCATCATCATCATCATCATTATCGTCATCATCCTTACCCTCACCACCGTCATCATTTTCATAATATTCTTCGTTGACACTAGTTTCGTCATTTCCGTTACAATCATCCCTGCTGCTCCTATTTTCAGTTTCTTCTGTTTTAACGTTTTCCACTGGAATGGTATTTTCATCATCCCCTGCCTGTAGCTCTTCACTTAAATTCATCAAGAACATTCTTGACCCTTTTTCATCTGTAATGTTTGATGGGAGTTGACCCTTAGCGATGAAATCGTGAGCTTGTAATAGGCCCTACAAAAAACAAAACAAAGAAACATCAGACAAGTACTCAGGCTTAGACAAAATAGTGAAACGCAGAGAATTTCACTCGCTCATACTCTTATGGTCAATTCGCCTACACGTTTACATATAAACTTCTATATAGGCGACCATGTATTGACAACTTTTGTTGGTGGGCGAAACAGACATTAAGAAACTAATTATAGTTAGGCTAGTAAATGATCAAAAATTTCACTCGCTCATACTCTTGTGGTCGAGTCGCCCAAACGTTCACATATCAATTTCTATATGGGCGACAATGTATGGACAACTCCTGTATGGGGGCGAAACAGACATTAACAAAACAGAGACAATAAATGACAATTAATTTCACTCGCTCAGACTCAAGTGGTCGATTCGACTACACGTTTATAGATCAACTCTGATATAGGCCACTATGTTATAGAAAACTTTTGTTGTGGGCAAAACATACGTTAAGAAACCAATAACAATGAATGATCAAGGGTTTCACCTGAAAATGTGGTTTCTTTATAATGTGCTTCAACTCTTGTGCTTCTTTGCTGACAGGGGTATAAGGACGAAAGCTCTTTAGAACCTATAAAAAATAGCGTACATAATAACCTGAGTAAAGAATTCTAAATAGATAGGCTTCTTCGACCAACTTTAAAACCGGACCCGCCATTATCAGTAAGAAACTAAAGATTTCTCGTATAGATTTTCTCCTCAAATAAGAAAGTGATTTCTCCTGTTGAAGAAACACCCTAAAAACAAGCATCTTCATTTTAAATGTTTTTTTATTCGTTTTTCAGAAAAAATCAAAACCCTGATAAATGCCGAAAAACGAGTGACGAGATAGAAATACAATATATTCAAGTAATCTGGTTCCTTGAATCTCACGGTTGCCAAGAATTACAAGGAGTTACAGAGGAACACGCGGGGTTACAACGAGTTAAGAAAGATTACAAGGGGTTACAAGGGGTTACAAGCGAAAGAGAGAGATTCCAATCATGGGTTAACCGCTTTGATGGCATTTTGATAGTCTTAAAAGCCTTTCTTCCTTCTAGCACATAATGAAATAATATACCTTTACAGGGGACTAGGAGGGGTTAGAGGCAGTTACGATGGGTCTCAAGGGATTACAAGGGGTTAAAAGGGATAAAAGGGGGATATATGGGATTACAGGGGGTTAAAGGGAGTTACAGAGGGTTACACAGGAATACAAAGAATGACAGGGGGTTACAGCCGGTTGAAAGAGAAAGAAAAAGATCGAAATGCTTAAACAAAAAGAAAAACAAGATAATCAAACAAACTCTTTTGTCGATTTGAAAAGAAAAACATGGTTTGTCAAAAACGGGAATTTTTAACTAAAATCATAGGTTAACCCCTTTGCAAAAATGCAAAACATTCTAAAGTTTAAACGGCGATCCTTTCAATCTAATACAAAATCAAACAATCTATTTAAAAGTTTTAAAAAGAAAAACATGGTTTGTCAAAAAAGACAATTTTTGAGAAAAATCATAAGTCAACCCCTTTGCAAAAATGCAAATTTTTCGGTCAAGCGGTTACGGGGGCTTACGAGGGAAACCGGGGGGGATACAAGGGGCTACAAGAGGTTACAAGGGGGTACAAAAGGTTAAAAGGGGTTAGAAGGAGTTGGTGGGGAACGAGAAATATGGAAACGAATTTGCCAAAAAAGTACTTAATCAAACCAAGTACCTTGTCAACTTGAAAAAAAAAAACATAGTTTGTCAAAAATGATAATTTTTGACCAAAATCATAGGTTAACAACTTCACAAAACTGCAAATTTTTCGACCATGTGAAAAGAACATTTTTGTAGTCTAAAAAGCGATCTTTTCTATCTAGTGCATAATCAAAAATCTATTTTGGCGTTTTGAAAAGAAAAACATAGATTGACAGAAATGCCAATTTTTGACTAAAATCATAGGTTAACCCCTTTGCAAAAAAGAAATTTTTTCGACTATGTGAAAAATAAAATTTTTGTATATATGTGAAAAGGACATTTTTACAGTCTAAAAACCCTTGTTCACCTTCTAGAAGGTAATCAAGCAATATATGTTAGGCTTTTGACAAGAAAAACAAACTTTCAAGAAAATGCCAATTCTTGCTCAAAATCATGCGTAAACCCCTTTAAAAAATTGGAAATTTTTTCGATTATCTTAAAATGGCATTTTTGTAGTCTAAAATGCATTTTTTCCCCTCTAGCACATAATAAAACAATATATCTTTACAGGGGGTTACACGGGGTTACGAGGGGTTACAGGGGGTTAAGAGGGATTACAAGGAGTTACAGGGGGTTACAAGGGGTTACAGGGGGTTACAGGGGCTTACAAAGGGTTACAAGGGGTTCCAGGGGGTTACAGGGGAAAGAGAAAGCTTGAAATCGATTTGCCAAAATAAGACCTTAATCAAACCATCTATGTTGTCAATTTTAGAAGAAAAACATAGTTTGTGAAAAATGCTAATTTTTGATCAAAATCATAGGTTAACCCCTTTGCAAAAATGCAAATTTTTCGACCATGTGAAAAGAACATTTTTATAGTCTAAAAAGCTATCTTTTCTATCTAATACATAATCAAACAATCTATTTTGGCGTTATGATAAGAAAAACAGAGATTGACAGAAATGCCAATTTTTGACTAAAATCATAGGTTAACCCCTTTGCAAAAATGCAATTTTTCGACTATGTGAAAAATGAAAATTTTTGTAAATGTGTGAAAAGGACATTTTTACAGTCTAAAAACCCTTGTTCACCTTCTAGAAGGTAATCAAGCAATATATCTAGGGCTTTTGAAAAGAAAAACAAACTTTCAAGAAAATGCCAATTCTTGCTCAAAATCATGCGTAAACCCCTTTAAAAAATTGGAAATTTTTTCGATTATCTTAAAATGGCATTTTTGTAGTCTAAAATGCATTTTTTCCACTCTAGCACATAATAAAACAATATATCTTTACAGGGGGTTACACGGGGTTACGAGGGGTTACAGGGGGTTACGAGGGGTTACAAGGGGCTACAGGCGGTTACAAGGGGTTACAGGGGGTTACAGGGGGTTACAAAGGGTTAAAAGGGGTTACAGGGGGTTACAGGGGAAAGAGAAAGCTTGAAATGGATTTGCCAAAAAAAGAACTTAATCAAACCATCTATGTTGTCAATTTTAGAATAAAAACATAGTTTGTGAAAAATGCTAATTTTTGATCAAACTCATAGGTTAACCCCTTTGCAAAAATGCAAATTTTTCGACCATGTGAAAAGAACATTTTTATAGTCTAAAAAGCGATCTTTTCTATCTAATACATAATCAAACAATCTATTTTGGCGTTTAGATAAGAAAAACATAGATTGACAGAAATGTCAATTTTTGACTAAAATCATAGGTTAACCCCTTTGCAAAAATGCAATTTTTCGAATATGCGAAAAATGAAAATTTTTGTAAATATGTCCAAAGGACATTTTTACAGTCTAAAAACCCTTGTTCACCTTCTAGAAGGTAATCAAGCAATATATGTTAGGCTTTTGCAAAGAAAAACAAACTTTCAAGAAAATGCCAATTCTTGCTCAAAATCATGGGTAAACCCCTTTAAAAAATTGGAAATTTTTTCGATTATCTTAAAATGGCATTTTTGTAGTCTAAAATGCATTTTTTCCCCTCTAGCACATAATAAAAAAATATATCTTTACAGGGGGTTACAAGGGGTTACGAGGGGTTACAGGGGGTTACGAGGGGTTACAAGGGGTTACAGGGGGTTACAAGGGGTTACAGGGGGTTACAGGGGGTTACAAAGGGTTACAAGGGGCTCCAAGGGGTTACAGGGGAGAGAAAAAGCTTGAAATGGATTTGCCAAAATAAGAACTTAATCAAACCATCTATGTTTTCAATTTTACAAGAAAAACATAGTTTGTGAAAAATGCTAATTTTTGATCAATATCATAGGTTAACCCCTTTGCAAAAATGCAAATTTTTCCACCACGTGATAAGAACATTTTTATAGTCTAAAAAGCGATCTTTTCTATCTAAAACATAATCAAACAATCTATTTTGGCGTTTTGATAAGAAAAACATAGATTGACAGAAATGCCAATTTTTGACTAAAATCATAGGTTAACCCCTTTGCAAAAATACAACTTTTTGACTATGTGAAAAATGAAACTTTTTGTAAATGTGTGAAAAGGACATTTTTACAGTCTAAAAACCCTTGTTCACCTTCTAGAAGGTAATCAAGCAATATATGTTAGGCTTTTGAAAAGAAAAACAAACTTTCAAGAAAATGCCAATTCTCTCTCAAAATCATGGGTAAACCACTTTAAAAAATTGGAAATTTTTTCGATTATCTTAAAATGGCATTTTTGTAGTCTAAAATGCATTTTTTCCCTCTAGCACATAATAAAACAATATATCTTTAGGGCGGATTACAAAGGGTTACAAAGAGTTACAGGGGGTTACGAGGGGTTACAAGGGGTTAACGGGGGTTACAAGGGGTTACAGGGGGTTACAGGGGGTTGCAAAGGGTTCCAGGGGGTTACAGGGGAAAGAAAAAGCTTGAAATGGATTTGCCAAAATAAGAACTTAATCAAACCATCTATGTTTTCAATTTTAGAAGAAAAACATAGTGTGTAAAAAATGCTAATTTTTGATCAAAATCATAGGTTAACCCCTTTGCAAAAATGCAAATTTTTCGACCATGTGAAAAGAACATTTTTATAGTGTAAAAAGCGATCTTTTCTATCTAAAACATAATCAAACAATCTATTTTGGCGTTTTGATAAGAAAAACATAGATTGACAGAAATGCCAATTTTTGACTAAAATCATAGGTTAACCCCTTTGGAAAAATGCAATTTTTCGACCATGTGAAAAGAACATTTTTATAGTCTAAAAAGCGATCTCTTCTATCTAATAGATAATCAAACAATCTATTTTGGCGTTTTGATAAGAAAAACATAAATTGACAGAAATGCCAATTTTTGACTAAAATCATAGGTTAACCCCTTTGCAAAAATGCAAATTTTTCCACCATATGAAAAGAACATTTTTATAGGCTAAAAAGCGATCTTTTCTATCCAATACATAATCAAACAATCTATTTTTGCGTTTTGATATGAAAAACATAGATTGACAGAAATGCCAATTTTTGACTAAAATCATAGGTTAACCCCCTTGCAAAAATACAACTTTTCGACTATGTGAAAAATGAAACTTTTTGTAAATATGTTAAAGGACATTTTTACAGTCTAAAAACCCTTGTTCACCTTCTAGAAGGTAATCAAGCAATATATGTTAGGCTTTTGAAAAGAAAAACAAACTTTCAAGAAAATGCCAATTCTTGCTCAAAATCATGGGTAAACCCCTTTAAAAAATTGGAAATTTTTTCGATTATCTTAAAATGGCATTTTTGTAGTCTAAAATGCATTTTTTTCCTCTAGCAAATAATAAAACAATATATCTTTACGGCGGATTACAAAGGGTTACAAAGAGTTACAGGGGGTTACCAGGGGTTAAAAGGGGTTACAGGGGGTTATAAGGGGTTACAGGGGTTACAGGGGTTACAAAGGGTTACAAGGGGTTCCAGGGGTTACAGGGGGGAAAGAGAAATTTGTTTGAAAATGGATTTGCCAAAAAAAAGAACTTAATCAAACCATCTATGTTGTCAATTTTAGAAGAAAAACATAGTTTGTGAAAAATGCTAACTTTTGATCAAAATCATAGGTTAACCCCTTTGCAAAAATGCAAATTTTTCGACCTTGTGAAAAGAACATTTTTATAGTGTAAAAAGCGATCTTTTCTATCTAATAGATAATCAAACAATCTATTTTGGCGTTTAGATAAGAAAAACATAGATTGACAGAAATGCCAATTTTTGACTAAAATCATAGGTTAACCCCTTTGCAAAAATGCAATTTTTCGACTATGTGAAAAATGAAAATTTTTGTAAATATGTGAAAAGGACATTTTTACAGTCTAAAAACCCTTGTTCACCTTCTAGAAGGTAATCAAGCAATATATGTTAGGCTTTTGAAAAGAAAAACAAACTTTCAAGAAAATGTCAATTCTTGCTCAAAATCATGGGTAAACCCCTTTAAAAAATTGGAAATTTTTTCGATTATCTTAAAATGGCATTTTTCTAGTCTAAAATGCATTTTTTCCCTCTAGCAAATAATAAAACAATATATCTTTACGGCGGATTACAAAGGGTTACAAAGAGTTACAGGGGGTTACCAGGGGTTAAAAGGGGTTACAGGGGGTTATAAGGGGTTACAGGGGGTTACAGGGGGTTACAAAGGGTTACAAGGGGTTCCAGGGGGTTACAGGGGAAAGAGAAAGCTTAAAATGGATTTGCCAAAAAAAGAACTTAATCAAACCATCTATGTTGTCAATTTTAGAATAAAAACATAGTTTGTGAAAAATGCTAATTTTTGATCAAAATCATAGGTTAACCCCTTTGCAAAAATGCAAATTTTTCGACCATGTGAAAAGAACATTTTTATAGTCTAAAAAGCGATCTTTTCTATCTAATAGATAATCAAACAATCTATTTTGGCGTTTTGATAAGAAAAACATAGATTGACAGAAATGCCAATTTTTGACTAAAATCATAGGTGCAAAAAATGCAATGTTTCGACTATGTGAAAAATGAAAATTTTTGTAAATATGTGAAAAGGACATTTTTACAGTCTAAAAGCCCTTGTTCACCTTCTAGAAGGTAATCAAGCAATATATGTTAGGCTTTTGAAAAGAAAAACAAACTTTGAAGAAAATACCAATTCTTGCTCAAAATCATGGGTAAACCCCTTTAAAAAATTGGAAATTTTGTCCATTATCTTAAAAGGGCATTTTTGTAATCTAAAATGCATTTTTTCCTCTCTAGCACATAATAAAACAATATATATTTACAGGGGGTTACAAGGGATTACGAGGGGTTACAGGGGGTTACGAGGGGTTTACCAGGGGTTACAGGGGGTTACAAGGGGTTACAGGGGGTTACAGGGGGTTACAAAGGGATACAAGAGGTTCCAGGGGAAACAAAAAGCTTGAAATGGATTTACCAAA